GATGAATGCACAATTTTTTTACGAGTTAAACTTAGCCAAATATTTTTTATTCCGAAATAAAAGTCTTTTCCGGATAAGAAACAAACTGATTAGCCAAATTAAATAAACAAATTTGGTATCATAGAAAGAGCGCTGAAATAGCTTTTAAACACAATACAAAAGAAAATACAAAAGAAATTCATATACCTGACCCAACGTTTGTTCTATGGTAATTAAATAAATTTTATTATTGAAATATTTTCCAATAGGTGGCTTTCCTCGTTTAGACATTTCAGTTTTAAAGCTATTTTAGTCCACTTTCATTTGATACCAAATTTGTGTAATTTGGATAAGCGGTTTGTTTATTATCTGGAATGGACTTTTATGTCGGAACAAAAAATATTTGGCCAAGTTTAACTCGTAAAAAAATACAACTGTTATTTTCGGTCCCCGGAAAATTGCATTTTCATTGTTGTAAAGCTTCTATTCTTGAGGAATAGGCAGCAAGTACAACAAAATTACACTTTTTCGCAGATATATTTTAGGAATACTTTTTTCCTTAGCGACATTAATTTTGTGTGATCTATTGCAATTACTTGTATGTGCTAGATACCACTCATTATTAAATATATATTTAGTTTTGCAATGTAATGGTGTTTTATTTATTTTGAGTCCCTACATTATTAATTCTTATTTTTTCGAGTTTAGGATTAGATTATGCTCACCTCTCACAGTGTATTAACTCTTCCTTCTCCTCACTCGTTTTTGATCACGAATCTCATTTATTTTAAAATTGAATATCGGCAACCCCTTCTATGAAATTTTCTAACGAATTAATACGAAAACCGCTGCGTGCAAGAAGAAATTTTGTAAGCTACTGTTGTGCTCCAGATGAATGCGTTTCGGCATCTTCCAAACAGTTGCGGCAGTAGTGGCCGGATACGATGTTAAGCCGTACACCAAGAGTTCAGTGGCTCGTCACTGCTCCCGTTAGCGCCGACAGTCGGCGCTTGGTTAACTTAAAAAGCTCATTTGATCGCCGGCTGTTCACCATTGGTCAATAGACCCTGCAACTTTGTAAGTCGGGTCTCTCGACCAACACTCATTCAGCCGATAAGAAGGCCATTTATTGAGGAATATGCAGCAGGGGAACACCTACCTATGTATGTCACCCTTTTCCAGGGGAGACAGCGTCAAGGCTGCCTTGCCAAGCCTTCCAGTTATTTTTATTATCATTATAACATGCTACCCTTGTGAAAATAATCGAGAAGTTTTTTTAGGCGACGGCAAGATATGTCAGGCATTTCATAAGCGATCGCCAGTCGACGGTCTCTTTGCCGCATCAAGCTCCCTGCAGAGAGAGCTGGAACTTGATGTTTGCGAGGAGACAGTGCTGTCTTATGCTGGATTTCCGCTAGGCATTAAATGGCAAAAATGACCAATGACAAAGTCGGGCATTAAAAAATTATCGTGTCATTACATAAAAAAAAATGTCATTAAGTTCATTTCCACATGGCATTTTTTTAAATGGCATAAATTTTTTGTCCTTTTAGTGCCTAGTGGAAATTCGGCATTAAGTTTGTAGTAATTCCAAGGGATCCTACGATTTCCTCGGGAAACACATTTTGAAAATACCCATCGTTTTTGTAGTTTTTAGTCCATGCTCAAATTCCGCTCATTTTTCCTTCAAAACTACGGGTTGGTAGAGGCTCAATCGTTCACGAGAAATCCTGTTCTTTCTGTGCAGGTCAATCGGTGTGTCTAAGGGCAACAATCAAAGAACAAAATGATATCTAGTCCCCTCGACTTGAAGGGCTTGAAAGCTTCAATCACTCGGAGCAAGCTCATTATTTTCAGTACACATCTCACTAGAAAATACATTCGTCATTCATCGTGCGCGGTGCACTGATGATTTCACGCATTGTCAGACTCATCTCTCAGGCATTCCAAGGGAACATTACTTCTCGTAAAACTGCACCTGAATCGAGACAACGCAAGGTAGTCTTCGACAATTGCGGAGAACTTCCTCCATAAAACTGTTTAACCATTTTAATCTCGGACTAATCGATCTTATTTCTTCAATATGTATTCTCTGAAGAACACTTCCTCTAGAAACTCATTTTATATTATTTTTCAAGTTAACAACAGGCTCTCTTTAAGAAATGGCAGCAGTTGCAGAATTGAGAATTGAGAGGTAGCGAGGGAAGAAGTTAAAATAGCCTGTCGTTCAAAAATAATGGAGGCCAAGATAGTCAATCATCTCTTTTGTCATTGATGTCTTATAAAATCCATTAAATTTGTGACAAACCTGAGCTGTCAACGGTTCGGCAATCAACACAACTGTTGCTACAACAATACCAAAAAGCCATGAATACTCAAACATACTACGCATAAATATGAACAAATAAAATAAATACTATGCAAGGAATGTGAAGTAAGCAAAAGATCGGTAAAAGCAGAAGTGCCACACCATCACACCATCGAGCACAATAAGTCAAGCCCAAGTCCATGCCATTCAACAAGCATTGCTGCTGTCATCATGCATCTTGCGAATATTGAATGCCCCAAAGTACGCATGCAACAAAGTATGCAAAAAAAAACGTTGTCAGCGTGGTGGTGTGTAAATACATAAATCTTCCGAGTGCACAGAAGAATATTTATGAATAACTCAATAAATGCGAAAAATACGAAAAATGTCGAAATTCTGTGTCAATATGCGTTGGAGCGAAACAAAATTCCCTCTCCAGAAGGACGGCAGACGGGTAGCATGGCGAAGAAAAGGTGTAGTTAACAGCGAGAGGAAAGTGGTCCGAATGACAATACGGATGGGCGAGAAAATTTATCATCTGTCACAGTAAATTGTGATTTGTATTTTAATGAAGGAATTCGCGCGCTGCTGTGAACATTTTATTTTTTATATTAATTTCGAGGTGAATAGTTACTATTATCAATATTTTTGCTAAAAAGCTTCAAACTTTCTGCTAAAAAAAATAAACTTACATGGAATTTACCGTAGTATAGCTAAAAAAATATTAAAATTAAAATTATTTTCCAGTTCGGAAAAGTAGAAACGGACCTGATTTTCGATTTAATTTCGTATGAAGGACTTTATGGACAGATAGTAAGTTTTTCTTGTGTTTCAAAAAATACGCGCTTGGTGGAGCCGGAAACTCGGAATATTCCTGCAAAACATTAAATGCTGTACACAATAGTAGCTCCGCATTAGTGCACAGAATCCTAAAGGCCCGGAATAATATTGAAACCCTAAGAAGTCCTGAAAAGCCCAGAAAACCCTTGAGAAAGTATTCGATGCTCATGAAAAAATCCAAACATATCCAGCCCAATTCTTAATACTCCCGGGGAGTAGCATTTTAATAATACCCAATTGTTTATTTGACCATTTTTTAATGCTAACGATTTTTTATTGGTCGCCCCATTGCATTTTTCGGGGTTTTTCTGGATTTTTGGCGGAGCTATTAATTATAGTTGGCGATGAAAAAATTGTTAAACAAACAATTGGGTATTATAAACTGGGAATTTTCTACAGACAAGCAGTGTTTTCTGGTAGAAACATATGGATTTTTAACTATTCTATGCCATTTCTACGAAAAGGTGTTTTTTCCCCATATAAAATACATGGAAAACTTTAGGCGCTTTGAGCGACCTCTAAATGTTTTTTGATTTCAAAATAAAAAAATAAGGGTATAATATTTTTCGGTATAGAACAATCCTAGGGGGTGAGAGCATAAAAATTCCGACTTTACTTTTTCACATGCGTTTTGGACCACCCTAATGTACATCTTAAAGATATCCACGAAAATTTCAGAATGTTCAACAGTTTTTTAGGGGTCGCTACCAAGATATGAAAAATATTATATTTTTTTGACATCGCAAAAATTTTACCAAATTTTTTAATTGTCAAATTTTTGCAAATAAATGCATAAACTCGTTAAGCTATAGCTGGAAAAATTCAAACGCTTGTCGAATTTTTGCGATTTGAAAAAAAACCAATTTTTTCCAAATCAAATGGGGGCCCTAAAAATTTGTTCAAAATTTTGAAATTTTCGTGGAGACTATTTTGCACGTAGAAGGGACCACCTTAATGTATGTACATATGTGTGTGAAGAATCTACTTTCCGACCATTCCAACCCTAACCTATGCCAATTTTGTAGCGCAAGTTATTCAAGTAGTTCCGCGGGAGAGCGTCGCAAAGTAAAAATGAGTAACTCAAAACGAAACAAAAAAATTGAAATTGAATTATAAAAGTACATACACCAGATCAAAAGAAAACACATATGTATTAATTAATCATTAAACATTTTATGTATTTGAATATGTATGCATTCAATATCTTAAGCAGGCTATAAATGTAGTATTTAAGCACCAAGCGTCTATTTACTTGTCTCTTTTGACATAAAAGATAAAACATTTTTTTCCGAAACTTAAATTTAGCGAATTGTTTTAACTCTCATGCGCGAATACGCGGAAATGTCTTTGAGCATATTGGAGGAAGGAGAAATAATATTGGGCCAAACTTAAATTATAATAAAAAAAAAACGAAATACATATCAAAACTTATTGGGTTAGTAATTTTTTTCTGGCAGTGTATAGTTAGTTTTTAAGCGCAAAGCAAGAGAGATAATGCATTTATGTTATATTTGAGCAGATACAAATTAGATAGTTTTTGAGAAATTCTAATCTTTAGGTTATACATACCAGTATGGAAGGTGGCGGGCAAATAAATAGGGACACGACATTTTAACAAGTTTTAGCTACTTCAATGTTTTTTATTTAATATCTATAATTTTTTATGAAAGTATAGTTCACTAGCAAAAACCATGTAAGTAAAAATTTCAAACTTTTTGCAAGATTTATAAAAACTCGTCGAATTTCAACAAATTTGTATCAAAATTACGAAATTTTTATTCAGACTTAAAAAAAATCGAGGCATGCTGTTTTGTATCACAGTAGGATTTACCATTGATTTTTGGTCTCTTTTTTTTTGCTGGCGGTGTTGCGCTTTTTCCTCCATACGAAAATATTGTCGAACATATTTTGTTTACCACTACCTAATTCAAACTTGAACTTTATTATACTACAATTTAATGGGCAACTAAACTGCATACCAAAATGTTTTACATATTCAGAGTATAATTTCTAGTTTTACTACAAAGTTTGATATTTGGCGTTGCAAGGATTTTGTTAGAGAGTGAGCTATATTTTCATAAAAAAATAATAAAGAAAAGAAAAAAAAGCTAAAACTTTTTAAAATGTCACATCCGTATTTTTTTTGCCGAAACTGTACGCAAATATTTATGTATACTGGTGGAGAATTATTTATTAAGGCAATACCGGAGAGCGTAATTTTGAAAAAATAGTAGGTATTTAATTTGAGCCAAACTTTACCAAAAATTTTAAATATTGGAAATTTACAAAATACTTAATTTAATTTTAAGTCAAATATGTCTGTATGTGTGTACACTAGATCGTACCGAGTAAAAAGAGTTCGTCGTACACCCCTGAGTCTAAAGTATATTTGAAATGCCATTTCGAAAAAAAATTTACTTTTTTTTTTTGTTCGAACCCTAACGTACCACCCTATAACAAAAAATTTGCCTTTACAAAGTATGTGAGGTTTTGGCCGAGCTTCTGCTCCGATTTATGGCGTGCGGGCTGATGTTGTCAAGCAAAGGGGGAGTGAGTGACCTACAGTTTTACGCCGGCTCCGAACGATGATTGTATTTTTATGAGAAGCGGTATACAATCGGATGTTTGCCATTGCCTGCTGATCAGTAAATTAAAGGTCGCCAAAGATCATTAAACTTTTGCCAAGGAAGTATTTCGATCCAAAGCCATTTTCGATTATTTTTGTTTTGCAGAGCGTGGGGTAACCTTTTGTTATTTTTCGTTAGATGTATGATTTACAGTCGGATCTTAAAGTACGGTATATCAAAGAGACAACTTTTATTGATCGCAAGGAACCTGTTTTACTACTCAGTTCTTGTCACAGTAACGTACCTCCCTAATGTCAGTAAATTTAAGCTTACAAAAATCATTAGACTTTGTCTAAAGAAGTATTCATATATTAATAAGCTAACATTTTTATTATTCGAGTAGAATACATAGATGTGACCGAAAAGGCGACGGCTAAGTTCGGCAAAAAATAAAAAATAAAAATAAAAAATAACCAATCGAAATAGCCTTGCAAAAATAGTTTAGACTTCAAATTCATTTGTTTCATTTCGTCAAACTATGCAAGTAAAATCAATAGCGATCTCCATTGCTGTAAGTGATTTCCTACAAATTCATACTTCAATACTTTTATGGCCTTATTCATAAAAAAAAGTAGATACGAAAAGCTTTATAAATTGATGTTTTCAATTTATAAACCTTTTTTAGTTTTTATGAGCAAGGCTATTAGTCTATAAGTTACCTCAGCACTGGCCCGTAAACTGCAGATTGTCGACATAGTTTTTATGGAGATAACAGTTATGTGCATCGAAAAATGCAGCAAGTGCATTAATTGTTATTTATGTGGCGTTTTTATAAAAGCACTTATCTCGAGTTAGGCCATTTTATTTTGAAAGCAATATTTTGTTAGGTTTCCAAGTAATTTTTTAACGATTAGCTATCCAGAGGCGTGGTTTCAAAAGTGGCCTTTTTATAGAAACGTAATAAAAATAAAAATAAAAAAATTTTAAGGAAAACTTATTATTTTTAAATCAAAAGTCGAACATTCTAAATTGACTCAAGTGTGTGTGTTTTTTTTTTTCAAAATGCCACATATTTGCTCTTATTCGAGCTTTCGTCGAAATACATTACAATTTTTTTTTTGTCGTAGCGACTATCGGGTCTACTATATGTACTATGGTTGCAATTGCGAATATAGCTTTTTCAGCCAAATACCTTTCAAAGCATAGAAATTACTTAAATTCGCTAAGTAAACACATATTTTTTTTTTACCTTTTTCATTAGTAAATCGCTCAATTTTATGTGTAATCAAATTATTTCCTGCTTGCAATTCTTGCCAGCGAAAAAATTTCCAGCAAAGAATTTGCCGCTTCTCCTCACTTCTCGCCTTTTTGGTCTGCACGAACGCGATTTGACAAAATCGTGATAATCCGTAGAAAGCGACGAACACTCTTAATCATTTAATTTAGCAACACCATGTGTCTAATAAACTGGCGGTATACTGCACTTTTACATAATTGAGAATCGCTCAAAGTAAAGCAGGGATCACACAATTTGTACATTTCAGCAGTTACAGAGTGGGGTTGTTTGGATTTTTTTTTTTTTATTGAACTGAAATCATACTCGATAAAACTTTCGAGACAACACCAATTCCGTGACTGCCAAAAGGTACGAATGTGCAAATCGTGAGCCCTGCTTAGCAATTTTTGTCTTCTTTCTTTTAAAATTAAATATGTATGTTTGTGTGCGTATTTTTAACACAATATCTTTTGTGGTAGTCACAATCTTTATCGCTTAAATGTTAATCAATTTTATACAATTAGCAGTTTCTTTTGGGTTTTTTTGCCTCTTAAACGTTAAACCAATCTATATTCTATGCTCTTAGAGTATATAATAATGAGGTATGGATAAGTAAGTAAAGGTGTATACTCTTCATCTGCAGCGTTACACTGCAGCCCCAAATTTACATACACCTCAGTCAAGCCGATCCAATTGATAAATAACAAAAGCTCATCGATCATCCACTCCTTCTACTTCTACACTTCACCACCGCTTTATGCTCTATGTCTTTATGTCTTTGAGGACGGTGTACGTCCTTCGCCGCCCAGATTATAGTACCGGTAAAGTAGCAATTTGCATCTATCATAGATGGTAAAGTAGAAGGCAGTCATCAAACCGGATTTGATCAGCGTCGGATACATGCCCTTGTAGAAACCCATGGCGCCCTCCTCTTTCATAGTCAGCTGTATGCAATGGAAAGCACCATGACAACGTTGCGTCCGCCCAAATTTGGTGCGATGGTGTTCGAATCCTTGCACTTGTAATCGCTTCTTGATGAAGTCCAACGGATAGACGACCGCCTTGGACGCCACTCCAGCTGCACCACCGGTGCACAACAATACCCAGGTGGGCAGCAAATCGTCCTTGGCCAAGCGTGTGTGCACCATCATTTCATTGAATTTTTTGTAGAACATAAAATTGAAGCCCACAAGTGGTACAATCTGCACCAGCGTCGGATGCAGGCCGCGAAAGTAGCCTCGTACGCCCTCGGTGCGCCAAATAATCGGTATGGCGTGCAGCATATTGCGATAGCCCTGCCCCGGATCCTGTGCCACTAAGCGTGTGCGTATCACATCAAAGGGAATGGAGAAAATGGTCGCCACACAGCCGGCAACACCGCCAGCGATGAAGTTCATGACGTTGTGGTGCGTCGACATGAAGGGCGTGTCGCGCATAATAGCGCGTATTTGTTCATAGGACCAGAATTGACCGGCACTGTAGACGACGCTCATGAATTGGCCGGCATTGTGTCCTTTGAAGAGTCCACGCAAGCCCTCCTCGTGATAGATTAATTTGCTGGCTTGCCACAGCGAGGTGTATTTGCTTTTCGTGTGTTTTGAGAGCGGCTCGACTTGCAGCTGAAAACGTATTTTCAACACATCGAACGGTTGCGTTAAGGAGCGTGTTAAAGCGCCTGAGATTGCGCCAGCGTAGATTTGATTTAGTTGCGCCTGCGCTGAGGTATAGTCATCATGGGCCGAAGTGTGATGCACGCTGCCCTCAACGTCGGCTGGCTTGGGCAAGCGCAGTTCTTTGGTGGATGCTTGGGACATTGTGGAACGAGATTGGTTGCTATGATGGGGCAGTGGGTACGTTATTCGTCTACACTTCGAACTGGCAGGGGCGAGAAGAATTTAGCTGAAAAGAATTTAGAAAATGAAATATATATAGTAGATTAGTATGGCAGCGAAGAAAACAAATATAAACTGATTAAAATTTACAAAAAAGTTTAGTTTTTGGTAAACACACACAGTAAGGTTGAAATTAAACATGAAATGACTTCCTTATTGGAGCATTTATTTAGATCGCTATAGAACAGAACGACATTGCAGAAAACTGCTAAATAATTGGTAGACAATGCAGCCTCAAGGTAGTTTCTTTAAACAGCGAAAGGGTCGAAGCTCAGTTGACTATCTATCTATCAGCCCAGCGAGAGATGAGTAAAGGCAAGCTCACTTACAGCTTGGGCAGCCTGAGTACCTGGAAATTTTCCTATAGGCCGCATGCCAGACAAAGCAAGTTGCTAAGTAGAACTATTGGTTACGAAAGTCTACATTACCACAGTAAAGAAATAGACTGAAGTTGATGTTTCAATCTGAGATACATTTCAATGTGGTACCATTTGATCAGAGCGGACTGTGGCTCTCTCAACGACATCAAACAACGGCGAACCGATATATGTATGTGTGTACATGGATAATGACTTACGAAACCCAAATGGAGACAGGTTTAGCAATTTGTACTGGCTGACAGGTCACTGCTTGCTGGTCAAAAAATCTCAGGCATACCGCTTGCAGAAATATGCTGCTAGATTTATTGTAGAGTAGACAGACCACTTTTGTATTGACAGGCATGCGTTCATGGAAAAATTTGCTCTCAGATTGCTTGAAGTCGGCCATGAAAACAATCTATCGAGATTATTAAATCTTACCGAAATTGCTAACATTTTCGTTTTTTTCCGCCTCATGAACTGATGAATTTCGTTGAATTTTGCTTATTAAACAGGTGGCAACCGTCTTACATATGATTTAGAAATCCCGTTTGGTACCCATCTTTTAATAAATCACTTTTACTTAACTTTTAACAGGTGGCAACTCTTTTCAAACACCTCAAAACTATTTTAAATACTCAAACTAAAGACTCCTTGGCACTCCTTTCTTTTACACCCACAATTTAGTATTTCAATATCACGCGACTAATTTAATGAAATTCGTCCTTTCAATTAGGTGGCAACCCTCTTCAAAATATTTTCAAACTAAAACCTTTTTCGTCGGACGCCCATATTTTGGGGTGGTAACCCTACATGTATGTGCATAATTTAGAAACGAATCCTTTTCAAAACCATTTCGATTTATACCCATATTTTAATAATTCATTTAGCTTATTAATTAATTCGAATTTAATATACTAACAGGTGGCAACCCTTTTCAAGAAACAAAACCGCTTGCAGATCTGCAAGCCAAAACCTTTAATTTGACGGCCCGGTTTTTGAAAATCGAACCGATCTGATGGCATTATTGTAAAGCAAAAAGTTGACATGAATTTCTAGTAATTTGGAAATCGGGCATACATATTTAGTTATTTACAACTTTTTCTAATTTCAAGTTACTCCCTCATCCGTACTAAAAAATTTAACATGTATTTTTTTTTTTTTAAATTTAAACAACGAACATAATTTGAGGTGAAATTAAAAACGGGACACCTAAAACTGATGTTACAGATTTTAATGTATCTGAAAAGTAGATATAAATGTGGACGAATAAAGTTATGAACATATAAAAGGGTTCAGTTTACTGATACGCCTATATGTCCAGCTTTTATCTAATATATTTTCTCTATGGTTCAAAGGGAAAAGATTCAAACCAGTTTTACATAACCAACAAAAAATTTCCAAATTCTAAAAGACCACAAATGTATGTGCAGTTTTCACGTTAGCAAAAACTACATCCAATTTTTTAATTACTAAAAATTTATTTACGTCGAGTTTAACCTATTTAATGTCGAGGCAAAAACATTTATACTAAAAGTACTCATATTTTTTTTCTTTAAAATTCAATATAAACTATTAATCATCACGATACACATTTCATGTATCAGCTCTCATTTTTTTTTTGGACACAAAAGTTGTGTTATACATACAAAACGCAATTACCAGCACAGTAACCCGTGACTGACCCACGACCATCATTTGAACTATAAGTGTAATGTGATCGTTTTGGTATTATTGAGCCTCCAGAGGGTCCAGCAAGAATAAACACAAAAGCACATTCACAAAGTAGTCATAGAAAAAAACAAACATAATAAATAAATAAACCAATAAAGCGTCTGGTGATACCTTCGCACACATCACCCTAATTTCAGTTCTCACCCAACAAATTTAGTGTAAGTAATTTTGTCCTTTTTTTGCCAATTTCATTTAAGGACGCCTTGTATACATACACGCACTGCTCGCAGTTTAAGAGAAACGCAAAGTGTACGGAGATATATGTATGTAGAGCAAATAATAATAAGACCGTGCGACAGTAAATTTAACACACACAAAAAAATGAATATATTCGCGAAACTATGGGGAAATTAAACTGTAAAACTGCCTACTTAGTTTTTCTCTCTGACGTCAGGATTTTTTTTAAGGACTTTGAAATTTAAAAAATATGATTATTTAAAAAATTCGATGCAATGCGGGATAACAATAAGGGTATCACATAAAAGAAATATTTTTTTTTGTGGAAAAATTATCGTTTGAGGACTAATGCACGCACGACCTCATCATCGAATTTCGTCCTGCAAACTTTGTTAACTTAAAAAGATAAAAATTATTAAAAGCGCATTTTCGATACCTATTCGTCCTTGTAAACCAAAAAAACTTTTTGTTTTTAAATTCTACAGAATTTTCCATCTCATTTGGTATCCATATTTTTGTTCTACATTGCACCGATTTTTTAGAATAATTTTTTGAATCAATCATATCTTTAAAATTTCAAAGTTCTTTGAAAAAAGTCCTGACGTCCTGGAAAAATTAAAAACTGTTTTGAAATCTCGTTGTTTTTGTTGCACGGTGTAATAATGAAATTCATTCCAACTGTACCATTTGTATTGCTATTTTTTTTTATTATTATGCTCTCCAATTCGTTGCTGATGAAAATGCTTTGAAAGTGAAATCGCAAACATGAAGTGCAAAAAGCAACAGTCCCAAAACACCTAACAGCGTGGATGTATTTAGTAAACGCCTGTAAGGACAAGTGCATTGAAAGTAGCAAAACCATTTACGAAAAAAATATATAAAAAAATACTTCAAATGGTCGACTGCTCCATTTATTTATTTTTTGTTTTTGTTTTTTTTTTTTTTTTTTGTGCGCGTAGATCTACGAAATTGTACTGTAGGGAAATATTCAACGTACTGCGCTCCCGACACAATTTCCAAATAGTATACCTCTTTTTTTCTGGCAAGGTTTTAAACAACCGCTTTTTTTTAATTTAAAAAAGCAAAATTTAAAATTTTTCCGAATTTTGCAAATTTATTTCTAAACTATTTATTATAGTTATAAAATTGTTTTCATTTCGTTTCAAAGGCGATATTTGGTGTTCTATAAAAAACAATAAATTAAAAAAAAAATTCGCCATTTTTAAATTAAAAAAATCGTAAAAACAAAATATTATATACATAAATTTTATCAATTTTTTTAATGCTGAAATTTTCAAGTAGTTATTATTTGTATTTCAAAACTTGAATTTTTGAAACTTATAAAATTTTTTTTTATTGCGAACTCTTAATAAAGCTATGTTAAACAAATATCTAAAAACGCAAATTCAGTTATGTTTTAATATTACCTCCCTATATTTTTAATTAAATTTTTATTGTCAAAAATCACAAAATTGGATACCTATTTAACATATTATTTAAGATTTACATAAAAACAAATTTTCAAAACTTAAAAATTAATATCTTTTGAAAAAACATATTCTTGAAAATTTCAGGATCTTTTTAAATCAATTAGAAGTATTGAGTAAAAAAAAAATGCCAAAAATTTAAATATGTAAGTTTTTGCTTTGCGATTTTTTTAATTTCGAAATTCTGTAAATTTTCTCACATATCCTCACATCCTTGATACAGCCCCAAATATCATCCTTAAAAAGAGACCATTTTCGTCACTATAATAGCGTTTGAGATATTCAAAAAATAAACTTGCAATTTTGCAAAACCTTCGAAAAAAAATTTTATTTTTTCTTTGGCAGAACTTCGTTATATATAATATATATATATAAAAGAAAAGTTCAAACTAAAATTCTCCAAATCACAAACGGTCAATTTCAAACATTGGTCGTTTTGACATGGATTGTCCCATATGTCAAAACTTATGCCATATGTCACATATTTCATTCGCCTACTTAGTATGGGTATGCAATTCTCAAACGGCATATAAAACACTTTATTAAAAAAGCCCGTTCATATATGATACAAAAAACACAAGAACTTTAAAGATCACTTTAAATTTAAGGCTTTTTAAGCGGTAAACCTGCTGCGGTTAAGCAAAGTTCTTCTATCTAAGCCATCGATTCCTTTTGCTCAAATTTTCCAATGATTTTTATTTGGTTCTCGCTTATCCTCAAAACGACATTTAGTGGTTTGTCCTTCCATTTATGCGTTGGCGATGTTGGTTGAACACAGCTGTCCGCTGCCATTTGCTAACCCCATAACAGCATTTTTGGCAATCCATTAACTCGATTATTTATGAACCAAGTGAGCAACGGTAAAAGCGAAAATACAAACTCAACTCTGCTAGCGTCACAAGTAAAAACCGGTAATCAATGTGTGGACGAAACACCGCACAAAATAAAGAAGAAATAAAGAAAATGTGGGACTTTTCTTCAAACAAAAAAAAAGAAGTGAAATAAAGCTCTGCCACATAATTCAATAAAAAACAGAAAGCGTCGCAATGGATTTAAGCATTTATTTCAATATCCGCTTGGGAATGCCAAGCAGTAAAATAGCTCAAAAGAAATTTTTTGCAAGCAGTTTCACTGAACTATTTTTATTTTATTTGTACATATTTCATTTTGCCAACTAAGGGTTTAGGAGAGCGTTTTTTTTTTTACTTATTTTGCCATACAGCCTTTTTTTTACTAAGAGTGTTGTTCATTTTTTCTCTTTTATTTTGTGTATTCCAGTTGCCAAACAGCAAGTCGTTGCCTACACACAAAAATCGCAAATCAAACACGAGAATCGTCACATTCAATTGGTGCGTGAATATGGCTTCCATCCGAGGACGAAGGCGACGGTTGAGGATGGCGACGTGTTGCCAAAAAAATTCGAACCGTTTCCGGAGAATATGTACGGCAAACCCTTGGAGGAAATTGATAATTTCATCTATGAAGAGGTAAGTGATTTTTATAAGCGATTTGTGGGTACTTCTGAAAACTTAAGGCGGATGTAAAAGCGGTTGGGTGCTATTTTGAATATCCGGTTGTTTTTTTTTGTGTAGCCTTAAGCGTTTGTGAACTATGTAAGTGCAGAATGTAGTTTAATGTAGCAGATAAGTGTGGCACATACAAACATAAATACCAACTGAAAATGGGAGAATGTGATTTAGTGAAAATGCGTGTTTTTTTTAAGTATTTATTTTTAAGTTTTGTATACTTATATAATAAATATGAACGAAAATGTTTACTGACATACCATACACTTTTTTCTAACGGTGCTAAAACTACTTAATTCCGAAGTAAATTAAAACCTCTGCACGCTGACTCCAATCACCAAAAAAAAAAAAAAAATACAAATAACATTTACTAATACATCAAATGCGAATCGAATGATCCAAATGTCAATCAGCCGCCGATTGATGTGCCAAGTTGTCAGTGCCGTGCGACATTGACACTCTAAAAGCCTAAAATAATACATTTATACATACTTCGTTGAGTGCAAATAGCCTTTCAATATTTGCCTTCTTGTTTTCCACTACCTGCTAACGCATTTTTTTTTTTTTGCTTCTCTATTTTTGTTTATTCTTCTGCTTTCTCATGTTTATACATATCACCACCGGCAGCTATTTATCTAACCAACTCGTTGCTGGCTAATATTTGTGTTTCAACTTAACTTCGACAACGCAGAAGACCAGCAGT